TTTGAACTCAAAACCGATACAACTAACAAGGGAAAAAACAAGGTTTGTCATAATTTTGGACAAATTCCATATTCTTACTGGTAAAGTCTCTGCATGATAATCTCTAGCGAATGTGATAAATGAGTGTGTTAGAAACGCTGCTGGTCACAACTATTTGGTTCAATCATTCAGAGGTCAAATGTCAAGGTTGTACAAATGTTAATGCATTCATTCTAGCAAACTGTTTTTACTTCTAGTTGGTCTCAGGTCAAATTTAAGTATTTGAACAAAGTTGATATCCCTTTGCCTTAGGGTAAACATACATGCGTTTTTTTTTAACTTGAGACTGCTATGCTAAGTTTTCACGAAGATTTTAATACTTAGCAAAGTTAACAGCATATTAGATGGATGAAAATGGATCCATGGACGTCAATGGGATTTGCTGTATTTTGACAATGATAACTGTTTTCTGATACCGATTGCAGTACCATGCACTTGATGCTTTAGATCACAAATTTAATTGTCCTTACTGTGCTTACCTAGTGCAGGACAAGCGCCTTGTGTAATTTTAACCTTATCTATGGCTGCTGAGCTGTGGCTTCTAGCAAACAGAATACGAAGTAAATCATTCTGTTCAAAATTGAATTCAGTCTGGGCATGATTCCAACCAATGTCATGCTTTACATTAATTGAAAGCAGCTGATCCTTGCTACCATTCCTATGTGTGACGTGAACAGAAAGGATAGTCGAAAACCACATCGCTGTATCTGCTTTTACATGGTAGTCAAAGGACAGACAATGCGCTCCTTCTTTTGGAGACAGTATCGGAGGTGACAGTAGTTGAGAGTTAGTATAATCGCCTACTGACGCCATCACGTAACCTGTAAACAGAACAATGTATACCATACTTTATTCTCTCCTTTTATCATTATTTCACTCCGTTTTTATCATTCATTCACTCCATTTTAAGAAGGCCTAAACATAGTATTTCCAGAACTATCATCTTATTCATATACCAGCGTTTCCTAGTTCCTTGAAAAGTATAGAAGAACTGCTTTATCCAGCCCATATTTTATGTCAACTGGCAAATATTAAGGATGTTTGTTGGTTTCCTGTTTCTTATATATTTTACAAGTTGAGTAAAAACGCGTTATACTGCAACCATTTGTCCAGAGTAATGGTGGCGTTATTAAATATATTTGCGATAAATTGAGGGGAAGATATATATATTTTTTTGTTTTCGAGGTTTAACTGTTTGTCAGAATAGACAGATATTTTTGGGCCAGATGAACTAAAACTGTCATTGAATTACAGTAAATAACCACTTACCTGCATCAATGTCATCATTATTTCGGTTTGTTTGACGCCATATATCACTGGGTAGACCATCAGAAGTACTGATAAACCAACAAAGATCGTCCAAGGTATCAAAGTCACAGGTCCCGTTGGGAGCTATAAAAAAAGGAAACAGCATCTCTTATAGTTCTGAGGAAGTTGAAATTTAAATGTTTACATATCTAATCCCTCTTCTAGAAATTCAGCCAATCTAACTCATTATTTTGAACAAACTGCACAACGATTACCCAATCATGCACAGGCTTATTTAATGGTAAAAAGTGGTTACCCTTTCCTGTTGAGAACATATAGACCAAAATAATATTGTCGTGAGGCTGTATGCCTCTCCAAAGCTAGTTAAAGAGAAATGAATATCTGCATGCCCTATATATATCAATGAACTTTAGATAATATGCTCATTCGTAGTATTCAATTTAGTTGCTAAATATATTGATATGTATTAAGGCTGGTGAACCATTATCAGCCTTCTCCTTTAGCATCATATTGATAGCTATTGAACACGTTACATATAATCAGGGGGCTGTCATTGATGATGGCTAAAGTGTCTTTTAGGGGGTTTGTTAATCATAAAAATACTACAAACTCTATACATTTCACAAAATACAAAACATGGATTGAGCAGAAACTGTTTCTGACAAATATCGAAATTGCTATACATGTATCCAACCCCCGGGGAAAATGCTCAAATTTAAATGAATCAAAAGTCCAACGGAAACACTCTCTGGACATGTACGATTCTGGGTAGTGTACTTATTGAGATAACGTTACATCAGGCATATTCCTTATAGGTACTTAACAGTAAGAAAATTAGTATTCCATTAAAACCCATAAACCCTTAAAAGAGGCCATGCAATCTTGCTCGAAATTTGTTATGGCCATTACTGAATATCCATAAATTTCACATATTGAACTTGAATATCCCATTAAAAAGGCATTAACAATGACTTTATGAGTATTAAATTTTCCAGAATAATGGACATTAGATAGTTTTACTCTAAGCCCACGAATAGGTATAATATGCAATTTTGATTGTTTAACAGTTATCACATATTCTTGCCATTGCCATTATTTCCATTTGTTGGGGAGAGTAATGGTCATGTATACTGTACCCGTTATAGAACTGCTCAATATACAGACAGGTAAGAAATTGGATAGATGTTAATTTTCAACTTTCAAGATGCTCCATAAATTTGAGAAAAGTTCATGTGAAGTTGAGGAAAATAACGAATTTGCGTATTTATATTCTTTTCAGGTCATAAAACATTAACATTATCATGGCCCGCAAAAACTGAACAAGATCCAAAGATCAATACATTTGATAAAATACAAGGCTAAATAGCAAACCTTTGATCGTCTTAAGGGATACATTTCAAGGCCATCATTTGTTTAATTTTATTTTCAAAAGACAATGTTATAAATTCTTATATGACCATAAATATGCCTATTTGACGCCTAATTAAACAAAATTTGACTTAATTGGTTCACCAATAACCTTAATATTACACATGTATATGGCATTTTTAATGGTGGATATGAATGGTTTCCAAAGTAACTCAATTGTGAAGTTTCTTTCCTGTAAGTATTTATGTGTAATAGGACAAATACACTTAATGTAGCTGAAATCATAACATAATAATTTACCTTTGCATTCTTTATCCGTGATGGCAACCTCATCCAGAGCTATAACATCGCCATATTGGCTTGCCGTGGCTTGGAAGCAGATTTGTAGATTGGAGTCGACCGGAACAGATTGACAGGCATGCAACCAGTTTCCGTCCTGATGTCCTGAGCGTGTCCAGTTCATGTTGCCATTGATAACAGATGAGAGACTGCCCACACCTCCCTTCATATGATACATGAAACGAAGTGTCGGCGTTTCCATGGAAGCCGTTGATACGGGTGGAAAGCACAGCGTAGTAACATTACCGAAGGTAGAATTTGATCCTTGGACATACATGTAGTTCCCTGCAGTAAGGACCAAGGTTATATTTATTAATTTGTGTTAACACAAATGAAGTAGCAAAGGTTTAACCTGTGTATAAGATCGATAAATGTACAGGGGATACCAGGAATGTTTTCGTTATCAGAAACATTTCCAAGAAATTAAAATGGAGAACAGGACCCTTAGATTACGGAGATTTAATTTTAATTCTGAAGTTCTGCTGTTAAGTCAGAAAAGCTGTAAGAGTAATCTGCCCTTACCATCTTGTCGACCTTCACCATCACTATGGGGTCTCGTATCGATTGAGAGGGTACTGCCTTGGCCAATCATCCATTTAAACATCGATCCATTTATGCTGTCTATGCGATATCCACATACATATGGTTCGTTGAAGTTGCAAGGGAGGTCAACCAGAATTTCTGTAATTCAATTGTAATTAATTTATTTTAGTCTTAATATTCATTACAGCAATGTAAGAACAAGTAGCAAAAAACATTAAATAATGTATGTCAAACTATCTTTGATGTTACCTTTATAAATAAATAGGGAAGGAAAAACAAAAACAAATTCCAACATAAGATCGCAAGATGCTTTAATGCAAAACCTTAACGCATTTATTTTAATTAATTTATAACTGAATAAAGTGTTTCCAAATGTAGACTTATTAATGATCTTGTATTTTTTTTCTCATTAATGGTTGCATTGATGTCAGTTTGGCACATATTATCTTGATATACATTATAGCAACGTAAGAACAAAGATGCAGGATTTCTTTGTGTATTTTCATCCCTTATTAAATGAACATTAATCATAAAAAAAACCCCATTTATATTTGTTCAGTTCACAACTTAAGCAATTATATTTTTAAAATCTCAAAATCAAAATGACCGACTGTAATTGATTTCGTAACTGCAAATTAATAGTATAACTTGAACATTGTTAAGGCACAGAACATAAAGATAGATATGCTTTTTAGGCAATTATGTTCTCGCAACGAATGCATCACTAGCAAATGATTCTCCGAGTCTAGGAAAACTATTGCTTATAAATGATTCCTTGTGTGTTTTACCTTTCACGTTGTATTGACAGAATTAGGTCTCAAAGCCAGGCAAGCGATGTGGTATAATTAGGTGGGGATCTGAACTATTTGGAAGTTTTACCTTTATTTTCGCCCCACCCCTAAGCTCCCCTTAAGAAAAGCCTATTTGTACATTTTCAAAAGTAAAACCAGCTGAGGATGGTTCCGAATAAATCAGCCACTCCGATTAACAAGAGGCCCAGAGGGCCTGTATCGCTCACCTGGATATCA